CGCACTACATCACTGAATGCCCAGTTATTAGACCTTTCAGACCAGTTGGCATGAGGTACCTGGAGCTTTGCAATTACTTTATTCACTCTCGTATTCTTGAAGATATCCTCACAGTATACCCAAAATTTGCCTGTGCAGGCTATTAAACACATGGCTCTGTATGACTAACCATCCTGCGAGATGGGGACGTGTATTACCACTGCTGCCTTATTCAATCTTGTGTTGTTGATATCCTCAAAATGCATCCGGAGTCTGGCAGTGCAGACCGCTTATCACATGCCTCTGTATGACTAACCATCCTGTGTGATGGTGATTTTTTAGCATCACCTAGTTAGCTTTTTTTTGGCACACTGTACTCCCCTTCATATAGTCTAGGGTAGCTGCACTAATGCACATGTACCTAATATGTTAATAAAAAAAAAAAATTTAATATTAAATTATCTGAAAGAGAGAAAGGGAAGGAGAGGAGGGGGGGCGGGGGATGTAGGAGAGAAGGAAAGAGAGGGGAAATTGTGAGAGGAGGTGGTTGGGGTGAGAGAAGGGAGATTGAGAGAGAGGATGGACATGAATGGAGGGGGAAGTTCAGAGAGAGTTAAATAAAGTCTTTTAGATCACTGTACACCGGCTATGTGAGGCCAGTTTTAGAGTACGCCGACCCATCCTGCAACACCCATCTAAAAACACATAAGAAAGCTGGAATAGGTACAAGTTCAAGTATGTTTATTGGGACAAGAAATACATATCAAAGGGATAGAGTAGCTTAGGCTATTTCTACCCACTGGAAAAGGTACAGACGTTTGCATTGAGATTCGTCCAAGAGCTTCGAGGGATGAAGTACGAATAGAGACTGAAGGAACTAAACCTGACGACGTGAGAAACGAGGGAGAGAGGGGGGGACATGATACAGATGTATAAAATACTTATAGGGATTGAGAGGATGGAAACGGGAATTGTTTACATTTAATAACAAGAAAACAAGGGGAGAAGGAAGGTTGAGACTAGGATGTGTCTTAGATATGTTAGAAAGTCGTCTTTTAGCGTAAGGGTAATGAGTACATGGAACGACCTAACCCACCAAACACACACCGAAACTACGACGTTGGTACAACGTTCGAACAAGTTTTAACACCTCCTAACCAGTTATAACAACCAATATATCAAGTCGTAACAACGTTCTAATACGTCATAAACACGTTAAGCCAAGATGTTAACAACCTTATTACAAGTTGTAACAAGCGGAAAATAGAGACAATTTCGGTTTGTGTTTCCAGGGAAAGGATCAGATCACAGAGACAACCTCAATCGACAACTTAAAGGCAGGTATGATGGGTAAATAGGTCAGGAATCATTGCATTAGACAACCAGCAGCTAGAAAAGTCCAAGAATTAGAGCTCGATCCTGCAGCTACAAATAGGTGAGTACAGACAAGCACACACACACACACACACACACACAGGGGCCTCGTAGCCTGGTGGATAGCGCGCAGGACTCGTAATTCTGTGGCGCGGGTTCGATTCCCGCACGAGGCAGAAACAAATGGGCAAAGTTTCTTTCACCCTAAGTGCCCCTGTTACCTAGCAGTAAATAGGTACCTGGGAGTTAGTCAGCTGTCACGGGCTGCTTCCTGGGGTGTGTGTGTGTGTGGTGTGGAAAAAAAAAGTAGTTAGTAAACAGTTGATTGACAGTTGAGAGGCGGGCCGAAAGAGCAAAGCTCAACCCCCGCAAAAACACAACTAGTAAACACACAACTAGTAAACACACAACTAGTAAACACACAACTAGTAAACACACACACACACACACACACACACACACACACACACACACACACACACACACAGCGCACTCAGTCAGTATATGGAGAGTGACACAATGTTGTGTTGATCCTGTACTCCACAACATTGACTTAGAAACACAACAATACTTGTAAAGTTAAAGTGAAGACGTTCAGCTTTTACACGAAGGTAATTCTATTCATACTTGCATGATGAACTTGGGGGGGGGGGGGGACTACACAGCCACAGTGTCATGTGTACTGTGTTAACTTCGCTACAACCTTGTCACAACCTTGTGCAACCTTGCTACAACCTTGTTTACTACATTGTTGCAACCCTGCTACAACCTTGCTACAACCTTGTTTACTGCTTTGTGCAACCTTGCTACAACCTTGTTTACTACCTTGTTGCAACCTTGCTACAACCTTGCTACAACCTTGTTTACTGCTTTGTGCAACCTTGCTACAACCTTGTTTACTACGTTGTTGCAAACCTTGCTACAACCTTGCTACAACCTTATTTACTGCTTTGTGCAACCTTGCTACAACCTTTTTACTTTGTACTAGTTACAACCTTGTTACAACATTGTAATAGAGTATTGTGTGTTGACTGGCTATAGTGATTTTGCCAAACGTGACAGATTGCTCCACGACTCTCTAGATAACGTCATAACAGTCGCCTCACACCAACACACACACAAACCAAACATACAACATAATGAGAGCTCCACTACACATGCAGCAACATACACATACCTCAAACACCCAACATGCCACATAACGAGGGCTTCTCCACTACACATGCAGCAACATACACATACCTCAAACACCCAACATGCCACATAACGAGGGCTTCTCCACTACACAATCCGGTGAACTCATCAGTGAACAAAATGCATCTCATTCTGTTCCAGGTAATGTTTACTTTGTGGACTGAAGAGAAAATTACACGCAGATTGCGAACCCAGAAAGTTGTTCCCTACACACTGAAATTATATGATTTTGCTGTTTGGGAGCAGTTGCAATTTTGCAACACACGATTTTATTAAGGCACTTCAGAGGTGCATAGAGGTGCTGGGACTATATGTTGCATTATACGAGAGGAGCTGTGTGTATATCGGGCCGAGCTGTGTGTATATCGGGCCGAGCTGTGTGTATATCGGGCCGGGTATAGGGAGTTGTGACGGGTGAGACGAGTTCTGTTCTGGTGTGGTAAATGCTTTGTTAGTCTTTGAGAGAGTTGGACTTGTGATCCTGTGGTCCCGGGGTCGATCCCAGGCGCCGGCGAGAAACAATGAGCAGAGTTTCTTTCATCCTATGCCCCTGTTACCTAGCAGTAAAATAGGTACCTGGGTGTTAGTCAGCTGTCACGGGCTGCTTCCTGGGGGGTGGAGGCCTGGTCGAGGACCGGGCCGCGGGGACACTAAAAAAGCCCCGAAATCATCTCAAGATGATCTCAAGATAATCTCAAGGACTACCACCACCCTGCCACATCACCACCCAGCCCCACATCACCACCACCCAGCCCCACATCACCACCACCCAGCCACATCACCACCCAGCCACATCACCACCACCCAGCTACATCACCACCACCCAGCCACATCACCACCAACATCACCATCACCACCACCCAGCCACATCACCACCCAGCCCCACATCACCACCACCCAGCCACATCACCACCACCCAGCCACATCACCACCAACATCACCATCACCACCAACATCACCATCACCACCAACATCACCACCACCACCACCCAGCCACATCACCACCAACATCACCATCACCACCACCCAGCCCCACATCACCACCACCCAGCCACATCACCACCACCCAGCCACATCACCACCAACATCACCATCACCACCACCCAGCCACATCACCACCAACATCACCATCACCACCACCCAGCCACATCACCACCCAGCCCCACATCACCACCACCCAGCCACATCACCACCACCCAGCCACATCACCACCAACATCACCATCACCACCAACATCACCATCACCACCAACATCACCATCACCACCACCCAGCCACATCACCACCAACATCACCATCACCACCACCCAGCCCCACATCACCACCACCCAGCCACATCACCACCACCCAGCCACATCACCACCAACATCACCATCACCACCACCCAGCCACATCACCACCACCCAGCCCCACATCACCACCACCCAGCCACATCACCACCAACATCACCAGCACCACCACCCAGCCACATCACCACCAACATCACCATCACCACCACCCAGCCACATCACCACCAACATCACCATCACCACCACCCAGCCACATCACCACCAACATCACCATCACCACCACCCAGCCACATCACCACCAACATCACCATCACCACCACCCAGCCACATCACCACCAACATCACCATCACCACCAACATCACCATCACCACCACCCAGCCACATCACCACAACCCAGCCACATCACCACCAACATCACCATCACCACCACCCAGCCACATCACCACCACCCAGCCACATCACCACCAACATCACCATCACCACCACCCAGCCCCACATCACCACCACCCAGCCCCACATCACCACCCAGCCCCACATCACCACCACCCAGCCCCACATCACCACCACCCAGCCACATCGCCACCAACATCACCATCACCACCACCACCCATCATTCAAAAGATAACTTCCGTCCCACGTGTGGAGGGAGGTGTTGGAGGACAGGCAAGAGGGTGGACGTGTCTGTCAGCCTACACCCTAGTGGACAGTTGCTACCGTCGACGACGGACAGCCTGCAGATCATGCCCCAGCAACCGTCGCCCCTGCCTGACAGATGTCTGTTGACCGACACCTGTCACCCTCGCTCGGTTCCCAGGCACTGTTTACTACATCACGATTCATCCACCATTTAACCCTCTACGAAGCCTGTACATCTTCCCCAAACCACATGACAACTTGGCATATATTATACAATTTATATTATTCAATTTACAACCTCCTAAGCACAACTTAAGAGTTTATATAACAACAACAACAGCCATGGGATTGTCAGGTTTCCAAGCTTGTAATCTATTGAATGTGTGTCAACAGAGCCCTCGTTATTAAGGAATGATGTAGAGGTTTCGTAACTAGTTGTGTGAGTCCTTGCAGGTGTTGAGCAGATCTCAGCTGCACCAGCACCCCCTGAACCCTCTCCAAGGCTCCTGGGAATTACATTTGGCTGGTTTAGTATATTTCGATATTTAATGGTGGAATTTCCTCCCCGGAGCGCTTCGTGGAGACCGGGCCGCCGGGACGGGGTGCCGGGACGGGGTGCCGGGACGGGGTGCCGGGACGGGGTACCGGGACGGGGTGCCGGGACGGGGTGCCGGGACAGGGTGCCGGGACGGGGTGCGGAGACGGGGTGCGGAGACGGGGTGCGGAGACAGGGTGCGGAGACGGGGTGCGGAGACGGGGTGCGGAGACGGGGTGCGGAGACGGGGTGCGGAGACGGGGTGCGGAGACGGGGTGCGGAGACGGGGTGCGGAGACGGGGTGCGGAGACAGGCTTCCAGGAAGGCTTGAAAGAGGGCTTTTGAACGGTTTCCAGAAGCGGGGTGTTGCGGGGAGCGGCTGGGTACATATGTCCACATGGGAGTAGTGGGACACCATGGTGGGGGGGGAGGCCACACCATGGTGGGGGGAGGCCACACCATGGTGGGGGGGGGAGGCCACACCATGGTGGGGGACACACCATGGTGGGGGGGGAGGCCACACCATGGTGGGGGGGGAGGCCACACCATGGTGGGGGGAGGCCACACCATGGTGGGGGGGGGGGAGGCCACACCACACACCATGGTGGGGGGGGAGGCCACACCATGGTGGGGGGGGGAGGCCACACCATGGTGGGGGGGGAGGCCACACCATGGTGGGGGGAGGCCACACCAGGCCACACCATGGTGGGGGGAGGCCACACCATGGTGGGGGGAGACCATGGGACAGTTTGGAGACCATTTGAGAGTAACAGTCATTATTTAGCTCGGAGATAAACAACAATGATTTCTGATTGGTGGATTAATTACGCCACTACTCCCCTGACTACCAATGACCTTCCCTGATTGGTGGATTAATTGCGCAATTCTTGCGAGATTACCAATAGCTTTCCTCTCATTAACATCACTAATCGTAGACACCAATGGGCATTAAGAGGATCAATAAGAGAGGAGACAATAAGAGTGAGGGAGAGAGAGTGAGGGAGAGTGAGGGAGAGTGAGAGAGAGAGAGTGAGGGAGAGTGAGGGAGAGTGAGAGAGAGAGAGAGTTGTGTCACTGCGTCAGTATATTACAATCAGGACTCAACCCATTAGTATATAAGGGGTAAACAATGTATATCTATAAAGTACAATGTCTAATGGAGATTGGAGGCCTGGCGATTGTGAACACCATTCAACTTTCCAAGATTAATGGTGATCTCATCGACAATGTTATAATTGGACGTCAAGGGTTGATCACATGAACAACCAATGAACAATGTGAACAATTGCTAATTGGCCAATTAACGCCAACGATCCTCCTTGACGAAGTTTGTGAATTTGTAACAAACTTCGTCTCCTCATGTATAGGAGAGACCCCATGTCCCTCCTAGGCACTAACTTGGTCTCCTCATGTATAGGAGAGACCCCATGTCCCTCCTAGGCACTAACTTGGTCTCCTCATGTATAGGAGAGACCCCATGTCCCTCCTAGGCACTAACTTGGTCTCCTCATGTATAGGAGAGACCCCATGTCCCTCCTAGGCACTAACTTCGTCTCCTCATGTATAGGAGAGACCCCATGTCCCTCCTAGGCACTAACTTCGTCTCCTCATGTATAGGAGAGACCCCATGTCCCTCCTAGGCACTAACTTCGTCTCCTCATGTATAGGAGAGACCCCATGTCCCTCCTAGGCACTAACTTCGTCTCTCATGTATAGGAGAGACCCATGTCCCTCCTAGGCACTAACTTCGTCTCCTCATGTATAGGAGAGACCCCATGTCCCTCCTAGGCACTAACTTCGTCTCCTCATGTATAGGAGAGACCCCATGTCCCTCCTAGGCACTAACTTCGTCTCCTCATGTATAGGAGAGACCCCATGTCCCTCCTAGGCACTAACTTGGTCTCCTCATGTATAGGAGAGACCCCATGTCCCTCCTAGGCACTAACTTCGTCTCCTCATGTATAGGAGAGACCCCATGTCCCTCCTAGGCACTAACTTCGTCTCCTCATGTATAGGAGAGACCCCATGTCCCTCCTAGGCACTAACTTCGTCTCCTCATGTATAGGAGAGACCCCATGTCCCTCCTAGGCACTAACTTCGTCTCCTCATGTATAGGAGAGACCCCATGTCCCTCCTAGGCACTAACTGGCAAATTCCACTATTTTCCAATCTCACTAAATAACAAACTCCATCCTCACTAGGTACTGGGAAGAGGGGAGGATAGGGAGAACCAGGGGAGAGTGGGGGGAGATAGACGTGTTCTCCCCATCTATCCTTCTCTCTACCTTTATATCTTCCCCCACTCTTCTCCTCTCCCTCTCTGTATGTCTCTCTCTTTATCTCACTGTGTCTCTGTGTTGATACGTGTGTTGCTGGTGGTCGGGGATTGGTGCGGTGTGACCTTTCCTCGCTTGTGGCCAGGGCTGGGCTTGGGGGCCAGGGCTGGGCTTGGTGGCCAGGGTTGGGCTTGGTGGCCAGGGTTGGGCTTGGTGCCAGGGCTGGGCTTGGGGGCCAGGGCTGGGCTTGGTGGCCAGGGTTGGGCTTGGGGGCCCCGCCGCCACCAAGCCCTTGGTAATGGAAGGTCTCGTAGCCCTTAGGTCCCAGTGTTACTCTCATGGTGTTGTCAGCAATACATATTGGCATATTACAGCCGGAGCTGTGAGGGCTGTGGGCGTGACGTGAGGGCTGTGGGCGTGACGTGAGGGCTGTGGGCGTGACGTGAGGGCTGTGGGCGTGACGTGAGGGCTGTGGGCGTGAGGCGAGGGCTGTGGGCGTGACGTGAGGGCTGTGGGCGTGACGTGAGGGCTGTGGGCGTGACGTGAGGGCTGTGGGCGTGACGTGAGGGCTGTAGGCGTGACGTGAGGGCTGTAGGCGTGAGGTGAGGGCTGTGGGCGTGACGTGAGGGCTGTGGGTGTGACGTGAGGGCTGTGGGCGTGACGTGAGGGCTGTGGGCGTGACGTGAGGGCTGTGGGCGTGACGTGAGGGCTGTGGGCGTGACGTGAGGGCTGTGGGCGTGACGTGAGGGCTGTGGGCGTGACGTGAGGGCTGTGGGCGTGAGGTGAGGGCTGTGGGCGTGACGCGAGGGCTGTGGGCGTGACGCGAGGGCTGTGGGCGTGACGCGAGGGCTGTGGGCGTGACGCGAGAGCTGTGGGCGTGACGTGAGGGCTGTGGGCGTGACGTGAGGGCTGTGGGCGTGACGTGAGGGCTGTGGGCGTGACGTGAGGGCTGTGGGCGTGACGTGAGGGCTGTGGGCGTGACGTGAGGGCTGTGGGCGTGACGTGAGGGCTGTGGGCGTGACGCGAGGGCTGTGGGCGTGACGCGAGGGCTGTGGGCGTGACGCGAGGGCTGTGGGCGTGACGCGAGAGCTGTGGGCGTGACGTGAGGGCTGTGGGCGTGACGTGAGGGCTGTAAGCGTGACGTGAGGGCTGTGGGCGTGACGTGAGGGCTGTGGGCGTGACGTGAGGGCTGTGGGCGTGACGCGAGGGCTGTGGGCGTGACGCGAGGGCTGTGGGCGTGACGCGAGGGCTGTGGGCGTGACGCGAGGGCTGTGGGCGTGACGCGAGGGCTGTGGGCGTGACCTGAGGGCTGTGGGCGTGACCTGAGGGCTGTGGGCGTGACGCGAGGGCTGTGGGCGTGACGCGAGGGCTGTGGGCGTGACGCGAGGGCTGTGGGCGTGACGCGAGAGCTGTGGGCGTGACGTGAGGGCTGTGGGCGTGACGTGAGGGCTGTGGGCGTGACGCGAGGGCTGTGGGCGTGACGCGAGGGCTGTGGGCGTGACGCGAGGGCTGTGGGCGTGACGCGAGGGCTGTGGGCGTGAGGTGAGGGCTGTGGGCGTGAGGTGAGGGCTGTGGGCGTGACCTGAGGGCTGTGGGCGTGACCTGAGGGCTGTGGGCGTGACGCGAGAGCTGTGGGCGTGACGCGAGTGCTGTGGGCGTGACGCGAGAGCTGTGGGCGTGACGCGAGGGCTGTGGGCGTGACGCGAGGGCTGTGGGCGTGACGTGAGGGCTGTGGGCGTGACGTGAGGGCGGTGGGCGTGAGGTGAGGGCTGTGGGCGTGACCTGAGGGCTGTGGGCGTGAGGTGAGGGCTGTGGGGCGTGACGTGAGGGCGGTGGGCGTGAGGTGAGGGCTGTGGGCGTGACCTGAGGGCTGTGGGCGTGAGGTGAGGGCTGTGGGCGTGACGTGAGGGCTGTGGGCGTGAGGTGAGGGCTGTGGGCGTGATGTGAGGGCGGTGGGCGTGAGGTGAGGGCTGTGGGCGTGACCTGAGGGCTGTGGGCGTGAGGTGAGGGCTGTGGGCGTGACCTGAGGGCTGTGGGCGTGACCTGAGGGCTGTGGGTGTGACCTGAGGGCTGTGGGCGTGACGTGAAGGCTGTGGGCGTGAGGTGAGGGCTGTGGGCGTGAGGTGAGGGCTGTGGGCGTGACGTGAGGGCTGTGGGCGTGAGGAGGAAGACGTCACTGGTGGGGACAAGGAGCCACACAGGGAGTGCTGGGATAAGATAAGCAAGCAGCAGGACTGCTAATAAGTTTTCACAGCCTCTTAAAACTTGAGGGTGTGAAGTCCTTCCCCTGGAAGTGCCCTGTCTTCCACACCTGAGGAGGGGGAGGAGGGGGAAGGGGAAGGGAGGGGAAGGGAGGGGGAGAGAAGTAGGGGGATGGCTAGATGAGGAGGAGAAGGCAAGGAGGAAGAAAGCATCCTTCCTCTCCTTCTCTATCCTCCTCTCCATCAGTATCCCTTCTCTCATTCCCAGTCCCTTCTCTCCCCATCTCCATATCATGGGGGGACATGATAACAGTTGTGACGATAATCTCCTTCAAGAGATTGAGCCTGCTCTTCCCTCCATAATTACGTAGTTGAAATTATATAAAACTACTATGGAAGAAATGTCCAACAACGACAACAACACCAGCAAGGCTTGCCAGAGCGCAAAACGTTGCAGCCAGAGACACCTGTTCGGACTCAAACCGCCAAACTACCCGTTGATCGCTACCGGCCCCGCTGATTGGCCGCCGGTCTGGCTGCACCTGCACTCGCCCCCCCAATACTACTTGATGTCTGGGGTCGCCACGACCTCAGACCTCAGAATGTTCAGTGCTTTCGTAGTTATCACTCCTCCCAGCTAGACGTTAGCGTGTACTGAGAGAGGTGATAGCTTAAAGCCAATATTCCAGCACCTCCCATTTATTTCTGTGTTGCACTTCTTGTTATTTTGCCTTAACATAACTTTTCATTGTGTCATTTAAGTATTCTTATTATTTTGATTGATTGATTTTATTATAAGAATTTGTTTGTCCATTTTTTCATGTTTTGATTAATTAACGTAATTAAAATTTCATTGTTAAAGTTTACTTGTGTTTTGTGTGTCTTCTCCTTACCTTACCACAGACGAAGTTCCAGTTTTTTCTTTTTTTTATAACTATGTGACGAGGCCATACCCCTAGCCTTAAACAGCCGAACACCAACGCGTTACCATCACACAGTGTATATGATACACACAGAAAATCACACTAACGTGTTATACATCAATGAGAAAATCCACTTGGGCTGTGAGGTGGGCGCGAACCCGCGACCAAGGCATTGCCAGTCGCATACTCTACCAACGTACCATCGAGGACTTTGTAAAAGTCATACACGATTTCTATTGAAATCACAGGAAGTCTGGAAGTCCCTCCTGAAGAACTCCAAGTTTTACACAAGACCTCCTAGCACTCGGGTGAAGGGTAAAGTAGTTCAACACCGTACGCTCCAACTTCGGATACAAGTATCTGATACATCACTGCAACCATTTTCACTGCTCACATTCTTTATCACTGTAAAAAATGTGGACACCCTCCTTGTCTCCCCCACACATACTCTTCTGCCACACCCACCAACCTGTAGGCCACTCAGCCTCAGGGCCAACCCAACCTAAAGGCCCACTTAACCTCAACCCCTCCCAGCCCCAAGGCCCACCTAACCTCAACCCCTCCCAGCCCCAAGGCCCACCTAACCTCTGAATCTCCCCTACCACACTGATTCTGTCCACTTCCCCAATATACGCCCCCTCCCGGCCTCCCGCCACACACACGCACCCCGCCATGCTCGGTCACACCTCATCCCAGTAATCATTTTCACTACACACCGCCTACATCACTGTAACCAAAAAGTTGTGCTCAGAATACAAATGGGTCACCTGAACATTTATTTTGCATGTTATTATCTGAATACACAAATACACACACACATATTTAAGCTAATGCTAAGCTCTATAGACTTGGTGACATATTTCACAGATTGTCCAACTGTCCGGCCTCTTCTCGACACACTCCATACAATCCCCAATCACCAGCTGGTATCGCGGCCTTGGTAACCTTGTAGTTGCTAGACCTTAAGACCTACACCAAAACTAGTTTCCAAAGACCATTTCTGGTAGTGTTGATGGTCGCCAGGCGCCAGCTGGGTGAGACTTGGCGGGAAAAATTGGCGGGTATTATTCTGGTGGTCTGAGGCCGTCACTGGGCTCCTCCCGTCCCTCGTGGCCATCTCCCGCTGAAAGATCACCCGTCACCCGGCCACTGTTTGCTTATTATTGATTATTTTGGAGGTTAGGTGGATCTTGAGGGTGGGAGAGGTTGAGGTTCAGTAGGCATTTAGGTTGGGTTGGCCCTGAGGCTGAGTGGCCTACATGTTGGGTAAGCCTTGAAGCTCGGTGGGCCTCGTAGTAGGGAGAATGACGACTACGACCGTTCCCTCAGTTAGAGGTGAATGAGTGATTTAAGCAGTTGCTTTGCAGACAGTCTTCACCTAATTGTTCGGGCCGATTCATGCATGTTTAGAGGCTCTAGCTATTGGGCCCCCAGTCATACCAGTTTTCTATTATTCGTTTTAAACCGTCATATTTTGTATGTAGTAAAGCCACTGATCTATGACTACTTATGGCTTCCTAGTCTTTCCAACATATTTCCCTATTTTGAATTAGCTATTCATACTTAGATACATTGGGGATTGTCTTAGATGATTATCTTTTAGTATCATAACTAAGATAATTTTTGTAATATTTTTCTTACCGTGTAACAAAATCTTTCTGAGGCATCTTTATTAAAATAAAAAAAAATTTTACTCAACCTTGCTGTATACTATTATTACTGTGTTAAGTAGTAACAAATCTAAGTAGCTCATCTTCATGCAGTTTCAAAGTCCACTCTACCGTCAGTCATTCTGTTTCATATTAACTACTTTCAATGACATTTAAGCAAGAAAATAAATCTAAATCATCTTTACGCAGCATCTAGTCCATCTTATATTTGTGTTATATGCCTTATACATCTTACCAAGTCAATCATTCTGTATCGCATCTACCAACACAACTCTTTTTAAGCATCAAAGTTTGTGTTTTGTCTATTTGTACTCCTCCACCCATGTCGTGTGTGTGTACTCTCCGATTTGAGTTTGTTGGAGTGATTAAAAAATTCCTAAAATTGTTTTTGGAGAGTGGGGAGAGCAGAGTGAGAGGTGGGGGGGGGGAGAGCAGAGTGAGAGGTGGGGGGGGGGGGGAGAGCAGAGTGAGAGGTGGGGGGGGGAGAGCAGAGTGAGAGGTGGGGGGGGAGAGCAGAGTGAGAGGTGGGGGGGGGGGGAGAGCAGAGTGAGAGGTGGGGGGGGGTTTGTGAGGTGGTAGTGAGGATGTTCTAGGGTGACCAGAACGGTCCGAGGAGTGAGAGCGGGGCTGAGAGGGATGGTGGATGAGGTGGATGAGCGCGGATAACCTGGAATATGGGTAAGAGAAGATGAGGTTGGGGGGGTGGTGAGCCCCCCCCCCCCCCGAGGCTGTCTTGGACTTAAGGTTGTGTGGGCCTTGAAGCTGTCTTGGCCTTGAGGTTTGGTGGGACCTTGAAGCGTGGTCTGGGTCCTCCTTTTCCCTGATCACTAATTGGTTGGAGGTAATTAAGAGTTCCAGTCACCTTAACCCGTTCACCCTATCGTGACCTCCGTGACTCTTGGACACCCTCTGGAGGTTAAAGTCACCCTTCACCTTGGACACCCTAAGGTGGCCACAGTCACCCTCAACACTCACACAGACAATAATCACAATAGTTTACCTGCTTCAGGAGGCTTCAGGTGGCTTCAAGATGGCTTCATGCGGATTCAAGGTGCGCCTCTCTTCACCTGCAGAAATAAAAAGCAATTAAATAATGCCTCTGGAACTGTATTCGATAATTACTGATATCTCTATTTCTGACAACATTTTCCCCATTAATGGTCTGCTTTATAATATCTAATTATCCAAAATTAATAGCATTTACAGCTACTATGGGAGTATCTATAGCTACTATGGATGGGAGTATCTATAGCTACTATAGATGAGAGTATCCAAGGAACGCTGTTGTCAGACAGAAATTAACCAAACCTGAAATAAAAACTAATTAAATCCGTACCTTAATAACTATGTTTCATCTAGAGCAGTTCAGTCCCCATTAACGACCTTTGTTCCAACTACAGTAGCTCCGTAACGACTTTGTTCCAGCTAGAAGCGGTGTTAAACATTACCTTCCCAAAGGCCAACAAGAGAGGTTGTGAACAGCGCGCCACAAACCCCACAACACGACCCCAGCTTACTAACCACTGTTCAGGGGAAAGGTTGGGAAGGAAGGGAGCACTGTCAACAGGCCTTGACAGTGCTCATCCGGCAACCAGGAGGCCTGGTCGACGACCGGGCCGCGGGGACGCAAAGCCCCGGAAGCACCTCAAGGTAACCTCAAGGTAAGGTAGGCCTTCATCAGCACCACATACCCAGGCTGTGATGAGTCGATGGTGGGTAGTTATTGGCTTAGTTAGGGCTTATCCACCAGGAGAGAGAGAGGGCCTTATCCACCAGGAGAGAGAGCCTTATCCACCAGGAGAGAGAGCCTTATCCACCAGGAGAGAGAGAGGGCTTATCCACCAGGAGAGAGAGAGGGCCTTATCCACCAGGAGAGAGAGGGGCTTATCCACCAGGAGAGACAGAGCGTTATCCACCAGGAGAGAGAGAGAGCCTTATCCACCAGGAGAGAGGGCCTTATCCACCAGGAGAGAGAGGCTTATCCACCAGGAGAGAGAGGGGCTTATCCACCAGGAGAGAGAGGGGCTTATCCACCAGGAGAGAGAGGGGCTTATCCACCAGGAGAGAGAGGGGCTTATCCACCAGGAGAGAGAGGGCCTTATCCACCAGGAGAGAGAGAGGGGCTTATCCACCAGGAGAGAGAGAGGGGCTTATCCACCAGGAGAGAGAGGGGCTTATGCACCAGGAGAGAGAGGGCCTTATCCACCAGGAGAGAGGGGGCCTTATCCACCAGGCCTTATCCACCAGGGAGAGAGAGAGGCTTATCCACCAGGAGAGAGAGGGCCTTATCCACCAGGAGAGAGAGGGGCTTATCCACCAGGAGAGAGAGAGCGTTATCCACCAGGAGAGAGAGCCTTATCCACCAGGAGAGAGAGCCTTATCCACCAGGAGAGAGAGAGGGCCTTATCCACCAGGAGAGAGAGGCTTATCCACCAGGAGAGAGAGGGGCTTATCCACCAGGAGAGAGAGGGGCTTATCCACCAGGAGAGAGAGAGAGCCTTATCCACCAGGAGAGAGAGGGGCTTATCCACCAGGAGAGAGAGGGCCTTATCCACCAGGAGAGAGAGAGGGCCTTATCCACCAGGAGAGAGAGAGGGGCTTATCCACCAGGAGAGAGAGGGGCTTATCCACCAGGAGAGAGAGGGCCTTATCCACCAGGAGAGAGGGGGCCTTATCCACCAGGAGAGAGAGAGGCTTATCCACCAGGAGAGAGAGGGGCTTATCCACCAGGAGAGAGAGGGGCTTATCCACCAGGAGAGAGAGAGCGTTATCCACCAGGAGAGAGAGCCTTATCCACCAGGAGAGAGAGCCTTATCCACCAGGAGAGAGAGAGGGCCTTATCCACCAGGAGAGAGAGCCTTATCCACCAGGAGAGAGAGGGGCCTTATCCACCAGGAGAGAGAGGGGCTTATCCACCAGGAGAGAGAGAGAGCCTTATCCACCAGGAGAGAGAGGGGCTTATCCACCAGGAGAGAGAGGGCCTTATCCACCAGGAGAGAGAGAGGGCCTTATCCACCAGGAGAGAGAGAGGGGCTTATCCACCAGGAGAGAGAGGGGCTTATGCACCAGGAGAGAGAGGGCCTTATCCACCAGGAGAGAGGGGGCCTTATCCACCAGGAGAGAGAGAGCCTTATCCACCAGGAGAGAGAGGGGCTTTTCCACCAGGAGAGAGAGGGCCTTATCCACCAGGAGAGAGAGAGCCTTATCCACCAGGAGAGAGAGCCTTATCCACCAGGAGAGAGAGCCTTATCCACCAGGAGAGAGAGAGGGCCTTATCCACCAGGAGAGAGAGAGAGCCTTATCCACCAGGAGAGAGAGCCTTATCCACCAGGAGAGAGAGCCTTATCCACCAGGAGAGAGAGCCTTATCCACCAGGAGAGAGGGGGCCTTATCCACCAGGAGAGAGAGGGGCTTATCCACCAGGAGAGAGAGAGGGCCTTATCCACCAGGAGAGAGAGAGAGCCTTATCCACCAGGAGAGAGAGGGCCTTATCCACCAGGAGAGAGAGAGAGCCTTATCCACCAGGAGAGAGAGCCTTATCCACCAGGAGAGAGAGAGGGCCTTATCCACCAGGAGAGAGAGAGAGCCTTATCCACCAGGAGAGAGAGAGCCTTATCCACCAGGAGAGAGAGCCTTATCCACCAGGAGAGAGAGAGAGCCTTATCCACCAGGAGAGAGAGAGAGAGCCTTATCCACCAGAAGAGAGAGAGAGCCTTATCCACCAGGAGAGAGAGCCTTATCCACCAGGAGAGAGAGAGGGCCTTATCCACCAGGAGAGAGAGAGAGCCTTATCCACCAGGAGAGAGAGCCTTATCCACCAGGAGAGAGAGAGGCTTATCCACCAGGAGAGAGAGAGAGAGCCTTATCACCAGGATAAGTGATTCCTTATCACCACCAGGAATATTAGGGGGTTAAAATTCCCTAATATTCACGTTTCTACCCATTGGTCTAGATAGGTAGGTTGCTTGTGTACGCACAGATCTGGGTAGGAAAAAACAATTGCGTTTTTTACGGTGGCAAATCGAGCGAACAGGCTACTAAAGCCAGGGTCACTAGCAGCCAAACACCTGGTGGACAGGTATTTACTACGCCTCCACATCATAATACACTCACGAAAGTACCGACAGTCTACAGGAAATAAAAATTACATTCATTATACGCGAGTAATTAAAATGCAATTATATCCCTTTAGATAGCACGTGTTGGAAACAACAACTGCCAGAGGCGCTATTTTGGAGGGACGATGATACAGGTGTTTGGCCGTGGTCTGGTGTGGGTGTGTGGGTGTGGGTGTGGGTGTGGGTGTGTGGGTGTGGGTGTGTGTGTGTGTGGGTGTGTGTGTGTGTGGGTGTGGGTGTGTGTGTGTGTGTGTGTGTGGGTGTGTGTGTGTGTGTGTGTGTGTGGGTGTGTGTGTGTGTGTGTGTGTGTGTGTGTGTGTGTGTGTGTGTGTGTGTGTGTGTGTGTGTGTGTGTGTGTGTGTGTGTGTGTGTGGGGGTGTGTGTGTGTGTGTGTGTGTGTGTGTGTGTGTGTGTGTGTGTGTGTGTGTGTGTGTGTGTGTGTGTGTGTGTGTGTGTGTGTGTGTGTGTGTGTGTGTGTGTGTGTGTGTGTGTGTGTGTGTGTGTGTGTGTGTGTGTGTGTGTGTGTGTGTGTGTGTGTGTGTGTGTGTGTGTGTGTGGTGTACCGTAGTGGTCCTGAGGTACACCCACGTCAAGGTGTAGCAGTGTACCGTAGTGGTACTGAGGTACACCCACGTCAAGGTGTAGCAGTGTACCGTAGTGGTACTGAGGTACACCCACGTCAAGGTGTAGCAGTGTACCGTAGTGGTCCTGAGGTACACCCACGTCAAGGTGTAGCAGTGCACCGTAGTGGTCCTGAGGTACACCCACGTCAAGGTGTAGCAGTGTACCGTAGTGGTCCTGAGGTACACCCACGTCAAGGTGTAGCAGTGTACCGTAGTGGTCCTGACTGAGGTACACCCACGTCAAGGTGTAGCAGTGTACCGTAGTGGTCCTGACTGAGGTACACCCACGTCAAGGTGTAGCAGTGTACCGTAGTGGTCCTGAGGTACACCCACGTCAAGGTGTAGCAGTGTACCGTAGTGGTCCTGTCTGAGGTACACCCACGTCAAGGTGTAGCAGTGTACCATAGTGGTCCTGACTGAGGTACACCCACGCCAAGGTGTAGCAGTGTACCGTAGTGGTCCTGACTGAGGTACACCCACGCCAAGGTGTAGCAGTGTACCGTAGTGGTCCTGACTGAGGTACACCCACGTCAAGGTGTAGCAGTGCACCGTAGTGGTCCTGACTGAGGTACACCCATGCAAGGTGTAGCAGTGTACCGTAGTGGTCCTGACTGAGGTACACCCATGCAAGGTGTAGCAGTGTACCGTAGTGGTCCTGACTGAGGTACACCCATGCAAGGTGTAGCAGTGTACCGTAGTGGTCCTGACTGAGGTACACCCACGCCAAGGTGTAGCAGTGTACCGTAGTGGTCCTGACTGAGGTACACCCACGTCAAGGTGTAGCAGTGTACCGTAGTGGTCCTGAGGTACACCCACGTCAAGGTGTAGCAGTGCACCGTAGTGGTCCTGAGGTACACCCACGTCAAGGTGTAGCAGTGTACCGTAGTGGTCCTGACTGAGGTACACCCACGTCAAGGTGTAGCAGTGTACCGTAGTGGTCCTGTCTGAGGTACACCCACGTCAAGGTGTAGCAGTGTACCGTAGTGGTCCTGAGGTACACCCACGTCAAGGTGTAGCAGTGTACCGTAGTGGTCCTGAGGTACACCCACGTCAAGGTGTAGCAGTGTACCGTAGTGGTCCTGAGGTACACCCACGTCAAGGTGTAGCAGTGTACCGTAGTGGTCCTGAGGTACACCCACGTCAAGGTGTAGCAGTGTACCGTAGTGGTCCTGAGGTACACCCACGTCAAGGTGTAGCAGTGTACCGTAGTGGTCCTGAGGTACACCCACGTCAAGGTGTAGCAGTGTACCGTAGTGGTCCCTGAGGTACACCCACGTCAAGGTGTAGCAGTGTACCGTAGTGGTCCTGAGGTACACCCACGTCAAG